AGTGCCAGTGGAGGTCAGAAGAGGGTGTCGGATCCCCTAAAATTGGAGTTACAGACAGTTGTTAGCTGCCATGTGGGTGCTGGGATTAAAACCTGGGTCTTTTGCAAGAACATTCAGTGTTCTTAACCGCAGAACCATCTCTCCAGCCCCAGAGAGTGGATACAACTTTTAAATATCAAAGTAAATTTCCTTTTTTTCTTTTGGCTCTGGGCATCATGTTCTATGATAAAACTGTGCTCTGTGAGCAAATTTACCTGTTTATACAAATAGCAAAAGAAGACTTTCTATTATTTCGATAACTATTAGAATGTTAAGTATGCCCAAGTTCTAAGATTTAAGAACATAAAGTGAAAAGTTAGGCCAGCTTTGACTTTTGTGATGCCACAGGGGATAAGCGCTGGCACAGCTGCTGACCTGCCATGCTTGGTCAGTTCAGTCAGTGTGAACTGATTTTTATTAGTTTCACGGCACCCCATGTTGGCTTCAAATGCAGTACCCAGTAAGTAAGGTTGGGGAAAGACTGGCTTTAAAATTTTTAAGACTTGAATACTTCCATAAGTGAAGACAAACGTGTTGCTGTAGCTAATAGATCTTCCTTGTGGGATTTAAGTATTTACTTTTTTCCATCCTTGCTCCAGAAAGTGGACACAGGTGGCTGATTTGAGGTACACATGATATATGTTTCTAATGGTCATATAATGTCAAGCCACATGCAAATGTGAACATACGAAAAAGCATAAACATTTCTACAAAATGTGCAAAAGAGAAAAGTATGGAATTAAAACCCAAATGCATTCATTCCAGACCAAGTTCTGTCTTTGAAATTTGAAATACTTCAAAAAGTTACAGAAGAAAAAATTTAAAAAGCTGCTCAAGGATCCAACATTTCTTTGCTGTACTACCAGCCAAGGGAGAATTCCCCACAAACTGCAGCCTTCCTAAACTCCAAAACTTGGAATGGACTTAGAGGCTAAATGCAACTTCCAGATTGCTGTTTTCTCTGTATTCCCCTATGCCGGCATTAAGCAAATGATATGGTTTAGGAAATCTGAAAGGCAGACCATAGCTCAAGGAATACAGAAACACAAGATCATATAGCAAGTCAAAGCTAATTTCAAAAGGCTACAATCCAATCACGCATTTCCTATAGGTAGTCAGATAGTAGTGGGTTTGGAATAAGTGGACATACAATCACAGCTCAGTCTAAGTCCAGCCTTTGTCTGGCCTGCAGAAGAAGTAGCACACAGTTAGGAGAGGACTGCTGGGCTTTTATTGCTTAGAACAGATTATCCCAACATTCAGAAAAGGAGTATAAGTATGTAATTTCTTATTTGGTCATAATCATAGAAAAGATGCATCATCAATATGATGAAATGGCCCTTGGTAACACGAGTTGCCATGCCACGCATGAGACACCTTCTGATTTTTGCAGCAAGTTAGCTGTGAAATGATCACAGGACCTGCCAGGCCCACTTAACAAAGAATAAAAACAAAACTGAAGTCACAGATAGTTTAAGGAGCTACCACAAAGACTATTTAAATGCTTTTATAAATAATAAAATGATAAATAAATGATGAATATCAAAAGTTCCTCCCCTCAAAATATGTTTTTGTTTGCTTGTACTTAAATAATGATCCCGAATGAAAAGCAAGAATTCAAAACTGAAGGCTTATTACTCTGACAAGGTCTGTACTCCAGGGTTAAGGGCAACAGCAAGAGGCGAAGGAGGGAATGTGGGGGGTGGGGGGATACAATGACACGTGCATAGAAATGTTGTAGCGTATACTAACTTGTGAAAAATTAAGTATTTTAAACTGTTTTGTATATTATAAAAAAGAAATTCTGAATCAGCAGGGAAATAGTGTCTATGGCAGTCAGACAGCTAGATCCGATGTTACAGAAAAGCCAAAGGGTGGGGTGGTTGGGGTGGACACACGCATGTATCTGTGCTTATAGGAGGACTGGCAGAGGCCACCTTCGGATCACCTGTGAGAAGCACATTCTCAAAAGCCAGTATTTCCCAAAGGGCAGGGACTTTTGCCACCTCTTCCCAAGCTTTTGTGAAACATTTCCACAGGCTCCACATCTCCTTGGTTGAAAACTCCCAGCAATGAGAGGGGTGGGTAGTGGAGGTGATCTTTTCAGAAGATGAGCTCCTCTTTGTGACACCAACACAGGTAATGGAGACATCCGACTGTCATGCTGCTGTGACACCAAACTGAATGTTCTCATAAATGGGCTGTGCCTTCTCAAGATACTGAATCCCAGCCCTGAAGATTTCTCTGATCAGTCAAGGCCACAGTAGAAAGATAAAAACAATGTCCCAAAGACAAATTATACCAAAGTACCAAAATGAGCGTGCTTATAAGGCAGCTTTGATTAGGGGTATAATTTACCCCAGTTGACTTATAAAACAAAAATATTTTTTAATTAAAATTTTTTTTTAATTTTTTTGTGTATGCATGTATTGCCTGCGTGTAGGTAAGTGCACCCATGTCGTGCAATGCCCACAGAGGACAGAAGAGGCTGTCAGATCCCCTGGAACTGGAGTTATGGACAGTTGTTACCTGCCATGTGAGTGCTGGGATTCAAACCCGGGTCTTCTGCAAGAACATTCAGTGTTCTTAACTGCTGAGCCAACTCTCCAGCCCCAAGAAGACTCTTCTTAACTGTCAGTGAAACCATTCTATGGCCATCGGATCCTGGACTGTAGGAACGGTTGTTACCTGCCATGTGAGTACTGGGATTCAAACCCGGGTCTTCTGCAAGAACAACCAGAGTTCTTAACCACTGCTGAGGCATCTCTCCAGCCCCTTTTTGTCTAAAATTTAAAAACATCTATGCCTAGTTGTCTAATTTATTTCAAGGTATTGTCGAACAAAATTTTGCTTTTACCAAAAAAATTTTAATATACTGAGTTACACTATCTCAAAACAAAACAAACACTCCTTAACAAACACAGTAATGTATTTAATATGATAATGCGCAAAGCATGTTAAATGATGGAATGCTTCAGAATGATCAAGAAATTGAATTTTAATTTAAATTAACTCAATTAAATTCTAACATCTTAGTTTTGTGACCGTTTTCAAGAAATTTTCCCCCAAGGAAAGTTGAAAAGGGAAAACAAACCAGTGTGTTCTACCTGGTTTCTGTTGGCCATATTTATAAAAACAGAAAAATAAGAGATTCTACATGCTAGGGAGCAAAAGAAAAATTTAACCAAACTTCTAGACAAAGATTAAAGAATCCAATTTGGCCATTACATAATCACACAAAGGTTACTTGCCCCAGCAGAGCAGTGAAGGTGAGCACAGTCCCCAAATGCACATGCTCAGAAATGTACTCCAGAGGACAGCTACCTCATTAATTCCAGTCAAGCTGTCATTCAAAGGCAAACAGCTCGGCCTTTGTTTAACCTGATTTACAATACTTATCAATCCTTTTCTACTCAAGGTACTTTCCTCCCATTATTTGTAAAATGTGTACAGAGGGTTTTTGAAAATGCTTGAATACAACTCATTTTGGTCACACAGAGAAAATGTTAGTCAACTAAAAAGAGATCTTTGTAAAGTTAAGAAACAATTTAGTGAAATTTTCTCAGTTTTGAACATTTTTCATAAAAATAAAATAAATTTAACTAGGAATTACATTTAAATTTTTTAATGTCCTGATCCCAGTTTGCAGCAATATCAAATTTATAAAGAAAAAATAACAACTTAATTTAAATTTAAAATATGCATTTAATTCATACTTCTTAATCTTTTGGAGTACATTAAATTTATCAAACAGTATGGTTTTAAACAATGTGATTTTAAACAATACAGAACAATTTAATATGTACGTGGGAAAATACTTTTCCTAAGATAAAAATAAAAAAAAAATAGGTGCACGTTTTAGAAATAAAAATAAAATTCTTGAATTTGGATTTTTTTTATTTTAACTTGTATGTCAATTTGTTGTCTTTCTAAAATACTTTTAAATGTGATTTAGTCTTTTCTCACGTAATTTGGGTTCTTCAGACATTTCAACTTCACGTTAGCTAAACACGGCACTGAAGCTCAGGTAATTAAGGACCTGAGGAACCTTAGATTCTGACTTTTACAGACTTTGTGGTTTATTCCAATGAAATGGCAGATGAGATCATCTGGGGAGGTGGGGCGTAAGTGTGGCTGTCTGGGATTTATTCTGTTTTATTTTTGTTTTTGTTAGGGTATTTTTAGAACATCCTTTCAACAAAATCATAGACACAGTTAAAATTCTTATGATAATGAAAACTCAAAACCATTCCATATGTTAGTTTTATATTATTTTCTCATGAGAAAAAATATACTGCTCATAAATCAAAAGCAAAATGCTCTATGTTCAGATGGTGGAACAACAAATCCCCAAAGGCAGCCGAGGTGCAAATGCCCACCACCCACTTCTGAGAGTAAAGGGGGCATTTGGCAAGTCTTGCAGTAGAGGAAGGGCTCGCTTCACTGCTGCCTTATCCTGGGGACTGAACTTAACAACAAAAACAAAACACAGAAAACAAAACAAAAAAACATTATGGAATTAAAAACCCTGGCAAAAATTCCTTTGATATAAAATATAATCACTACCAGTACCCTCTTAAGAGTTGATAAACTATAACAGTACAGAAAATTTTACTTTTCCTTGGCCATTAAATAAAAGATTGAAAGGTTTTTTTTTTTTTTTAACTTTTCAAACAGCAATGACTTACAGCACCCAAAAGATACACAAGTAAAAATGCATTATGAATCATCTTTTAAAGAAATACCAAAAAAAATTAAAACATTGGTGATTAGGTAAATACTTATGATTCCAATATAGAAGTATTTACCACTGAAGTGGGCTTAAACACAATCCTACCTTGTCCCAGTCCTACCTGCCTGCCAGAACAAAATAGGCAGCTGACCAATTATGGGTGTTTATCTATACAGGGCCCCTTTGTTCTCCAACAATGTCAGGTGCACACAGCCTGGAACACATTTACCTGGAGGATTCTTGGCAGGATCGTTGTGGCTTGGACTTCCTGATTGTCCAGAATCTGTAAAGAAATCACAGAATATGTTTTCTTTTTAATTTGTTTTGAAAGAATTTCACAATCCCAAGAAGGACTTCAAGAAAAAAAAAAAATTAAAGGTACAACAATGAAGTGTTTAAATAAAACATACTTTCCTAAGCCTTTTGATAGCAACATTTTATTCATCAAGCTAGACATACATCTATAACATATTTCTTCATCAAAAGGAATGAACAAGTACTCTTCTATAATGCTTTGAAAATATAGAAGGCTTTTCTGAACCACGAGGTTTGGCTGCAAAGCCACTAAAGATGGTTTGAAGGTTAGGCAAATATCAAGGCCAGTTAGTGGAAACTTGAAATAGAGCAGATATCATCCCTTAAAACATGCAATCTACGTATAATTAAACACACTTTTAAAAACGTGAAAATATGTTTTTATTGGGAGAGTAAAAATACACAGAGGTGAAATCCCGCTCTTCCAGAGTTTCACATGCATGTTCAAATGAGAGCCTGTTTTTCCAGGATTTCACACACACGTTCACATATTCACGCCAGTAATTCTCCAACCTACTGGATCCCAGCCCAGTTCTGTCTGCATCCCATAATAGCAATCGATTTGCAAACACCAGGAAAAGCATAAATTACTAGGTAGAAACCAACATGGCTTTGTGGAGAGCAAATTGTTGGATCAATTTGATCTCCATCTGTGAGAGACAGTCAGGTATGTTGCCTAGTCCATGCTCGTCCTCAGCGATGCCACGGAATGGGCACAAAGGGCATGCACTGTTAGTGTGCCCTTCCTAACTCATCCACACTGCTGTGTTTGGCTGGCTCCCCTACCTCCATGTCCCCTCTGCATTTCTCTGTGTCGTCTGCCGGGGGTTATTATACACTTACTTTGTCATCTAAAGGTTGCTTTGTAATCTTCTTTTATTGGGTCTAGCACTTAAGTTTTGTCTCCCCAGCTAAATTGCATGCTCCTAAGCAGAGGCAGTGTCTGTCTACCTCTTTGTCTTTCTCAGGGTGCCATTCATGTCTGTGAACATAACCAGGCTTGCAGTGCACACCAGAGGGATGGATGGCTCAGAGTCAGCAGCCATCTTTGCTTGCTTAGAAATGGCAACAATGAACGCCATAGTGAATTTCAACAAAATGTGATAGCTTGGTACCAGGGGTGGCTCTGTCAGACTGTCGTGTACCCACAATTCACTTCGCCCAAACCTGGGGGCCCATTACACTCGAAGCTAAAAAGGTATTGGTTTTCAGTTAAGCAGAAAAATCACATGCCTATTTTATTCAACAAAATTATTTGGCTAGACCAGGTTGGTAATTGACAAACACTGCAACTGTTTGTACTCTTGACTATAAGAACATCCTGTTAATTATTCTTGTATAAAACTTGGTTATTTATTTGTGCTTGCCAGGTTAACGGTGAGAGCAAAATGTTATCCCTCTCTCCTGTTGCCTTAATTTTTCTTCCTTTATGTTCTAAAGCAGATTTCATGAAATCTTAGCAAACTTATTTAATGATACCAACATTGTTCTTCCCAAATGGAAGGGCAAGAACTGGAGAGGAGACCATGGCTCTCTGGACACTTGTTAGAGTCTCCTGCATTCCACATCTCCCAGGAACTGTTCAGGACATTTTCTGGGCTTGAGGCCAGTCTCTGACTTATAACTTAGGAGAGTCATCTTTTTCTTTCTACATTCCCATCAAAGAGAATATCGGCCACCTTTCAAGCCTACAGTATGGAAGTTATATCAAAATGATAAACTCTGTCATTTTGCTACAGCCTCTGCTATTTCTGCCTTGAGTTTTCCTGATGTGACTGTGTATCTATGTTGCATTAAAGTTTAATTTTTTAGTGATTCTGGCCTCTTGAGAGTCCTACTTACACAAGTCATACTCAGGGGCCATACCTTCCCCAGGTTTCTCTTGCCTCTCTAGAGCTACTTCACATTACATAGGCTACCACTGCCTCAGCAGGCAAGTGGCACAACAGACCCAGGCCCATTGTGGACTCTATGCCTGAGCCTTATCAGGCATGGCCACAGTGACTATGAAACAGCACTCCATCACTCTTCCTCACCTCTAACCCTAAACTTTATGTCTAGCAAAATAAAGAGGGCTGGAGAGATGGCTCCACAGTTAAGAACGCTGGTTGTTCTTGCAGAAGACCCGGGTTTGAATCCCAGCACCCACATGGCAGATAACAACTGTCTGTAATTCCAGTCCCAGGGGACCCAACAGCCTCTTCTGTCCTCCGCGGGCATTGCACAACACGGGTGCACTTACCTACATGCTGGCAATACACGCATACACATAAAATAAAAATAATAAATAAAATTGAAAAAAAAAAAATAGAACGAACATCTCTTCCCTCTTCCATTACAGGGACCCTGCCTGGTTAACACAGCACATCCTTCATTTCCCTAACACACCGGGTTCCACTGAGACGCTTTTCCTCTCTCCCTCTCGTCTTCTCTCCTTCTCTCTCTTCCTTCCTTCTGTTTCTAAAAGTTCCTTCCTCTCATTTCCAACAACTGCAGACCAATTTCAACTGAAAAAATATCCACTAAGAATGCCACAAGAATTAGGGAGAAGCTGAAATAAACTCTATCTTTGAGTCACACATTTGCTTTTAGTATCAGTTCTACTTTCTATAATGAGCTGCTGTTTATGCCCCCACCCCCCAACAGGTTTTCCTGCAAAGTCTATGCCCTCATGAAGCAAAACAGCAAAGACTGTGTCCCCAAAACACAAATGAGGGTCCTGGAGAGAGAGGGCAACAACACATTTACTTTCAGATTGTGCATTCTAACCCTGCAATCGGCTCCTGTGTCACCGTAGATCAGTCACTCAATTCCAACTGCTGGAAAAGAAAGTAACTAGGGAGCAGCAGTTGGCAGGGAAACCAAGAATGAACTGTCATTGTGGTTGACTTCAGAGAAGGAATTACTCAGACCACATCTAAAACCTCCACAATTCACCACCCAGATCAAATTACTCCAGATTCAAAGGTTTCATTAAGCACTTCCATCACTCGACTCAAATCCCCCCCCAACCCATGCGCCCAGGCGGGTGTATGCGCGTGTGTGGCGGGTGTGTGCGCGCGTGCGTGTGTGGCGGGTGTGTGTGTGTGTGTGTGTGTGTGTGCGCGCGTGCGTGTAATGCACTAGACTGAATCCTAGCTCTGACCATCTCTAGTTAAATGGTCTTTCACAAAATTAATTAAGTTTTGGGACTGGAGAGATGGCTCAGCGGTTAAGAGCACTGACTGCTTTTGCAGAGGACCCGGGTTCGATTCCCAGCACCCACATGGCGGCTACAAACCGTCCTTAACTCCAGTTCCAGGGGAATCCGACGCCTTCTTCTGACCTCCGTGGCATTTCACGACACGGGTGCACTCACATACATACAAGCAATACGCTCAGACACATAAAATAAAATATTAAAAATAAAAACAAAATTAGTTAAGTTTTAGCGTCTCACACCTTAATCTTCAAAACTGCAATAATACCACCTAGCCCAGAATCCCTGCAAAGACTACATCATACCAAGAACAGAGTCTTGGTTCTGATACAACCTACGCCATCACTACATGAGAGCTATCATTAAACAGAGAGCCACATTAAAATTTTAACATTTTTTTCTAACGCTCAGGAAGAGTTCAGGGGGAAACTAAGTTCTAATGACAGCGGTGCGCACCGGGAAATATGCACGGTGGGTCTGCTGAATGCTAGGCTGCTACCACCTGGGAACACCTGTATTCAATGCCTCAGTCCCAGGCCCCTTGAGGGAGGAGGTGCTACTCCCTGAGCTCTTGGGAGCTGCCATGCTTGGGATGCAGATAGAAGCAGTTGATGCAATCCTCTTCCTGAAGTCTGAGGCCTTGGAGGGGCAAGGCTGGCAGGAAGAGGGTTGGAAGCTGCCTAGCACACTGCATGTCAAGTCTAGGGAGATTCTGAAGAAGAGGATGGGTCTGGAAGGTGCCAGCCAACACCAGCCTCCTCCGTTATCCTTACCTCCCTCATTTCTTGATCTGAATCTATACTTTCTACATTTGTCACCACATAAGCATAATTTTGAAATGAAATCCACTTTGAATCACTTCTTCTGAAAACCTCTTGGTCTCTTCAACATGGGTTCTCTCTGTGATGCCCAGGCTGACCTCAAGCTCCTGGACTCAAGGGATCCTCCTGCCTCAGACTCCCCGGCAGCTGGGATCACAAGTATGTACCATCCCACCTGGCTCTTCTCATTTACAAGTGTAAATCTAAATCTATGATTTATTTTTTCAGGAAACTGAAAGACGAGATCTCTAAATTATGGTTCTTAACTCAGACACTCCTGGTCCCATGGGTTAAAGAACTTCCATAAATAGGGAAAAGCTCACACTCCCACATGACCCTTACAACTTCTTTTCCAGTTCTTCTGCTCATTCCTTTTTAAAAATCAGTCTTTTCTGGCTCTTCCAATCTCCAACTTTTGCTAAGAAGGGCTCAGACTCCCTATGATCCAATCTGACTAAAGACCCCTGAATACTGACTAAGGACCTCTGAATACTTTACTGTGTGTAAAGTTGCTGGTTGTCCCATCTGTGCCCCGGTCCAGACACACTGCCACTTAAGTGGTTGTGATGCAATCTTGAAATTGCACAAAGCCAAATGATCCTCCAGTAGATTACAGGCTTCTGGGAACCTGACCTTCCCAACTTCCCTCCTCACTGCTGCTTATCAGTACATTCAAAATCACTTTCAGAATTTAACAAACCTTGTAGCTGTTCTCTAGAATGGCTGAAATTTGTTGTTGTTGTTGTTACCTACTATAGGCTATGAAAAGAAGCTGACTCTACCTCAAAGTTAGTGTCCATTTTCTCTATTACACAACAACAATAAAAAGCGTTTTCTGGATAAATCCAACGACAATTTGTTAAATATATAATAATAAGTAACGGCCTGTGAAGCAGTGGTCATTAAGCAGTACTGTAATGACTAAGCAGACTTCTCTGAGGTAGGCAG